AGAGAGAGAGAGGGGTATGAATGCAGGCACGTGAATGCCACGATGCATGTGTGGAGTTCAGGGGACAACTTTTAGGATTCACTTCTCTTTGTCCACCGTTGTTTCTGGGGACTAAATGTACATTGTCAGGTTTGCATGCTAAGAGCTTTTATCTGCTGGGCTATCTTGCTAGCCCATAGATAAACTCGGGCTGGCCTGGAACTCACTATGTAGCCTGGGCTGGCCTAGAACTCCTGGCGATCCTCTTGCCTCAGCTTCTTTTCCTCAGATTCTTGGGAGAAGGGACTATCATTGGTTACCTTTCCCTGCCCCCATCACCAACCATCTGTATACGAGGGGAAATTAGTTGAGACAGTAAAATCTGTTACAAAGAATATCCCCATTCTTCCTGGACGACTGGCTGTCTAACTCAGCCACAGGCAGGAAGGAACACAGCCTTCTTAATTGACATGCCAGACTTCCTGGTTCTGGCCTCAGATACCACCACTCCACAACTAACTCGAGAACGAACTAGAAGTGGTTGTGCCCACTGCCCCACCAAATGTCAATGCGACCTCTTTGCCCATCGCTCGCACCTGCGACTGCACCACCTCACCTGACTGCTGCCATCCTCTGTATGTTAGGCTCTCGATGCTGTCTTCCTTACATGGGATGTTGGGAGGATTTGATGAGTCAAATGAGTTCTTCTATCCAATCCTCGGTACAGTGTCTCAGCCACACTAAGAATTCTGTAGACACAAGCTATTCTGAGTGTTAGCATAGCCTCCCATGTAAGGAAGATCTCATCCAGACCCTAACATACAGAGGGGTCCGATAACTTGCTCAAGAGAGTGGTGGGCCCTAAAACTGAGCTGATACCACCAACCCCCAAACTTGGTGTCACTCAGTGTGAGGATCTCCCCTCGGTCTATTCAGCCAATGTGCACTCTTGCAGGAAATGCAATCTCAACCAAGGGGTGGCCAGTCATCACAGTTGGCCACCAATTTCCAGGTGAGGCTGAGAGTAGAGTGTTTTGATATGACTCAATGTGAGAGCTGGCAGGATGTTGCATACCTATAATCCCAGAACCCAGAGGGTGAGGTAGAAGGATCGAGGCCAGCTTGCAATACACGGCAAGACCCTATTTCAAACACAAAAACAAAACCACTGTGAGTCGTCTTCACTTGCAGCCACTAAAACCTTCTTGAACATCCACTGCATACCAGGCTTGGTATGAATACAAGTGACATTGAGAAAAATTACAGATACACACACACACACACACATATATACACACTTATATATGTACGTGTATATATGTGTATCTATCTATCTATCTATCTATCTATCTATCTATATCTATATATATGACATGGCTTGGAATTTCAGCAAACTCTAGATTCTAGATGTCTCTATGACATTGCTGCTATAACAGTTGCTTTCCTTTCGAAGAGCAGCACCAGGAAGACTGCAGAGGCATTTGACAGTATTAGAGGGGGCTTGAAAGTCCAGTGATGAACCTGGGGTCCCAGAGTTTAGAGGGGAAGTGGACACAAGTCCCCATCCCTAACTTAGAAGCTATCTTCAATTGTCAATCACTTGCAAAAGAAAAATAAGTTTTCTCCACCAGCATCTCAGTGGCTGTACAAACCACACTTGAGGGTAGGCCCTGTGCCCAGGAGTAGACGCCAACACAAAATGAACTCAATGGCATTCTGGGAGATTGGAAGACTTTTCATTTTATAATGCTTTGTTCAGGTATTTTTTTTTAAATATTTATTTATTATGTATACAATATTCTGTCCGTGTGTATGCCTGCAGGCCAGAAGAGGGCACCAGATCTCATTACAGATGGTTATGAGCCACCATGTGGTTGCCGGGAATTGAACTCAGGACCTTTGGAAGAGCAGGCAATGCTCTTAACCACTGAGCCATCTCTCCAGCCCCCTCAGGTATTTTTTTTAACTTTACTTTTTTTTCTTATATATTATAGTTTCTAATTTTATTTTTATAAGTTGTGCTTGTGTGTGTGGTGTGTTTCTTTTGATTTTTCTTCGTTTTTTTTCTGTTTCTTTTTTTTAAAATTCCAGTTTGTTTATTTGTCTATTCATTTTCTAAGGAGAGATAGAAAGAAGGAGTGGAGTTGGATGGGTAGAGAGGTAGAATCTGGAAGAGATAAGGGAAGGGAAACTGGGATCAGAATATATTGTATTAACATTTATTTTTTTAATAAAAAAGTGAACAAGCAAATCTAGCGATGAGATTCACACTGTTCAGTTAGGAGACAAGGGGTCATCAAGAGGACCACATGGGGTATGCAAATGCTTCCCATGCAGGCCTTGCCTCCCAGAGGACACACTGGCAGCTGTGGCAAAGCCCAGGGCACGTTAGAGGCCTCTAAGCAGAGTCCTCTTTTCAAGCTGCCTTTGCTCTGTGCTGTATTCTAGAAGCTCCCACAGAGGTAGCTGTCTGTTGCTGGCTCTTGGCTCCCACGTGGAGATATGCTTTCTGTAGCCAACTGGGCGACTGCCCTAGGTACACCTGTCCTGGGGTTTAGACTGCGTCCCTGGGATTCTGCTCAGTGGGAGGAGGGATGGCTCCGAAGGGGTGTGGGGTACTGGAGGAAGGGACAGGAAAATAAGTTCAATACCAAGGCCTGAATGGGACTAACTAAAACCAGGCCTGAATGTGACTTGAATTATGGAAAAGCTCCAAAGAGAGTTTCCTAAGGCAGGCAGGAGGTAATGCTTTCCTTCTTACGTCTTCACACATGAGAAGTCCCTTGAAAAGGCCTCTAGACGGAGCTAATTTAACTGGGCTGGGCTGGGCTGCTCAGATACCCTCCAAGCTTGGACTATGTCTGAGTGCTAACAAGCCATACCTGGGTGATGGGGCGGGGGAGAGCCTGCATTTAAGACAAGGGACTACTTTTCACACATTTCTTATGGCCCTTGAGTGGAAAAGAACAGACTCTCAGAGTGGCTTCACAGTGGCAGCAGACAGTCCTAAATCTAAAAAAAAAAAAAAAAAAAAAAAAAAAAAAAAAAAGCAGTCCTCTTAAAGTAAGTTTCAGAAAACCACCCACTCTGAGAGCCAGTCACATTCACAGAGGTTCACTAAGGGCAAGGCCTTCCCTCACATTTGAGAACCAAGAGAACAAACAAGAAAGGCACCCGCAGGAGACTGGAGTGCTTCTTGCTTGTCTGCTCTCAGGTTCAACCTGAAGAGCTTGCATTGCTGCTCTCAAAGGCCCCATTTCTTGGTCAGAATGCTCCGTAGTCCCATCACCTCAGACACTCCAAGTTCAAGGTTAAAACCCTGTCCACCGTCAGGACAAGCTGCCGTCCTAGGATAAACAGGCTGTGTTCTTTGGCTCTTCTGCTGTCAGGGAGTTGATGTTCTGCGTCGAGTCTGATAATTTGATGTAATTTGTCCCAAGTTCTATGGATTAAAGAGAACTCAGTAAACACGGCTCATTACCTGGTACTGTAAAGGTTTCCTGGCACACAGCCATGCTCAGGCATTTCTGGGGCTGCTCTCTTGCTCCGGCCCCAGAGATGAATATTTGCAGTAGACTGCATGCCCTGACAGTCTAAGGTACTTACTAGTGCTTTAAAATGACCACACACCGACACTCATGAAATCTTGAAGCCTACACAGGTCAATCAAGAGGTTTTTAAAACTATGGTGGTTATTATTAAAAAAAAAAAGAGTCAAATGCGGAAACATGTTTAAACATATGTAGACACAAATCTGAAGATGTTTTATGACAGGTTTATAGCTGCCTGCTGGATTCATGTGTTGATCCCACCTCTGGCAGAGGTTCTAGATCCATGTGGACTTTTGATGACTCAAATCCAACCTTTAGGTTACTTTTATTTCAACTCCTCCAAAAACATGGCGAGAGCCAGAATCGCCTTGGGGAGCTAGTATTGGCCTAAGCTAAAAACCTGACAAGGAACGCACGTTGAAGAAAATTACAGGCCAATCTCATTCATAAATTTAGAGACAAATAGTTCATATCATACTAGCAAATAGAATCTAGAAATGGGAAGAATGCCATTCGATCCCCATTAACTGCTTCATGCCCTGAATACACTAACCTCAGAAGTTTTGAAAGACCTAAGTCATTAACTGAAAATCAGAAGGAACTGTATTTAATTCTATTGCATTGACTATATTAATTAATGGAGGAATACTTAACACATGAAGATACTTAATTTGGCAATTTGATGCCCACTTTCGGGGCACTTAGGGGTCTTTATGTCCTTGGAGGATGAGAACCTCGGCTCTCCCCATAGGTAGCCGTGGGACTCAACCTGATCTTAGGGAAGATGAAGGGCTGAATGCATGGTCACTTCTATTTCCCGGCTCCCAGGTTTCAGCCAAAAACATGCGGGCAAAGCAGGCTCTGTTCTAGTCAAACAATTTCAAAGAAATCCAAACAATGGCGAAGAAGATGCCTGGGAAATGCTTTTGAGTGGCGAAGGCATTTGTACAAATGTTTTACTTTCACAGTTGGGTTCAAAAAGTGCTCTGCAGCTCGAATGCATCTATTTACGGGAGGACTGCGCGGCCAACAGCAAGAAAGGGAACAATGGGTCCTGAAAAGAAGAAAAGGGCCCTTCCAACGCCCGCCTTTCTTCCTCCTCCTGGCTCTTTTCAGCTTCACAAAGGGAGACATATTTTCCATATAATTGCTAAACATGTTTGCTTATTAAATTATTCTTTAATTAGTTAATGATTTTAGCCATGCTTTGCTCTTCGGATATTCATTTTGTGTAATAAAATAATTATAGATAATTAAACTATCTCAAGCCTTTTTCTTTCCCTCAGAAAACATTCTGGGTATCCAAAAATGACAACAAGTTGTAAATTAATCTGGAAAACAAAGCATGACAGATGAATGATTTGGTTGGAATTAATTAGACACTAATTATACACTGGAACTAGATGAAGAATGAGCCTCATTATAAAAATAAAATGCTATTCTGAAAGGCTGCAGTCACAGTAACTTTAC